TAAGTTAGCTATAATTATTATATTAATTTACCATAATTAACATGTTGGAGGGTGGAAGGGAGGTGTATAGGATTACTTATATAATTTTATATTATAATGAATGTAACTCTCAATTTAATTATACATCTGGAGGTAGTGCCCATTCCTGGGTACCATGCCATTATGCCAATTTCATTTAGATGATTGTGTGAAGCCTAGGCACCAGAAAAAGTGCCAGCACAATTGCCGGGCACTCAATCAGAACACAGCCTTAATTCCTCAAACTTCATCTGAATGCCTAATCTTATATTGTGATCTATGATCAAGTAAATTGTAAATTATTTGTGATGCTACTAATTGTAACCTAGTAGTGTAATGTAGTAGGTAGAGAGTAAGGTGGGCGAAGATGATGGGGAAAAGGGGAAGGAATGTGTGGGGGATGAGAGTTATAATTAAATTATAATTAAATTGAGAGTTACATTCATTATAATATAAAATTATATAAGTAATCCTATACACCTCCCTTCCACCCTCCAACATGTTAATTGGTAAATTAATATAATAATTATAGCTAACTTACTGTACTTTACTATACTCTGCTGCAGATGCATGTTAATCCTGAATGTACTGGTACTACATCCATTCATCACCTTGAATCCAGCCAAAAATCGAATGAGAAGCAAGAACAATCTAATAGCCAGGCTGGTGATATAATTATAGCCACTGATAAGGTTGCTGAAAGTCAACATAATGTAGAAGATCAAGCACTTAACCAAGAAGCATCATAGAGCCAAACAAGTGACACAACAACAATAACTTTAACACCCATGCAGCCAAGCAAATACCATCGACAATCAAGATTTTTATACAGGAAAAATATTGGATGTTGCAGACAAAGAGTGCCAAAGAGTTGACAGTGTATTTCTCTCTGCAGATGATTATTCTTCACTGCTCAAGAAATTTCAGTGATGATCTTAGAAAAATCAAGTCTCACATTGGTAATTTTTCCCAACCAGAAATGGATCCCAATGCCTTTGAGGTGATATGCAGGGATGCTGGTGCTGTGAATCTCTACTATTGCGTAAACAGTGCCATATGTTCTGACAGAATGTCCACTGAGCGTGAAAAAACATCTTAGCAAGCTCCGAACAATGGTTATTATTTATATCATGGTGTTTTCATTGTCCCAAAGATCCAACTCATTCCAAGTAGCATTATCCAGAACTGAAATGAAAACATGAGACGGAAAGGAGAATCCTGAGAGAAAACCGACATTATTCCCCAAATAATTTATCGATATATTAACGATATATTGCAGCCATAGAGCGCCATCATTGCAGTAATTCAAACGTCGATATTTCACGTTATGTTTTGAAATTTAAAAAACCCCACGGCAAAATTCAAGATATATTTATGTTTTATTGCATTCTTTCGGTTTCGAATATAAAAAGTAAATATTCTGGCTCACGGATGCCTTAGAATACGGCAATATTTTCTCGCTCCTTTTGTTTACAATTTTTATTTTCAAGCATTCTGATTGGCGGAGAGCAAAAATGTCAACAAACGCGTTGATTGGCTTAGAACGAAATCTGCCCTTGTTTGATTTCACACCAAAATTGCACGGCACAAAGTGCAATTTCGACTTTATTATATTCATTTTGAAATCATACAAAAGATTAAACAAATTCAAAACGATTTATTTGCTGAAAGAACCGTAAACGGTGTAAAATGTGAGTAATTTTCATTTATTTTTGTCAAGAAATTTTGCGGGGCATTTAAAAATTCAAAATAATAAAATTTTGTTCCATTTTCCCTTGTAATTTGATGGGATAGTGACACTGAAATACTAAATCTGATTGGTTATTGTGGTGCAGAGCTTCAATCTTACTGGCTTATAAATGATGTGATTAATGCTCAAAATTATTGCGATTTGGGAATTAATCACACTATTTTTAACCAATGAGATTGCAAGAAACACCATTGATTTCAAAATGAATATAATAAATATAGTAATGGAATATACCAGTAAATAATGTAGATATTTATAACTTTTTAACCTCTTTGAACCGCTCAAAATTTTACTATTTAGTGTAGGTGATAAAACCATTACAATAGACCCTTTCGATAATTACGTCACAAAATTTTCCTTTTAAATTTAGAGCCGCCTTAAATATGATTGATTTACTCTCAAGTTTTACTCTCACAAACTATGTGCAAAGATGCAAAACATCCTTCTTTATCTTTTCACGCATCACATGCATGAAAAATAGTTTTTCATTTTAAAAAAATAGTATGGAAATAAGCAGTGGCGTAGGCAGCCTGACGATTTAGTCATGCTATGCAAATTTTATGTTATTATCGTCATTCATTTCTTTAGAAATTCATTTTTTTCGCAGTCAATGAACACCAAAATGTTAGCATAGCATGACTAAATCGCGGGCTGGCTACGCCACAGGAAATAAGCCGTTACTCGAGAGCCGTCATGCATGTGTTGAAGAAGGATGATCTGTATCTTTGCACATAGCTCGTCAGAGTAAAACTTGACTTTCAACGTGGTTCTAAATTTAAAACGACAATGTTTTGACGTGTTATCGAAATGGTCTATTGTAATTCTCTATGTGTTAGATTTCATTTAACGCATGTTTTCATTCAAGGAATAATATGCTGAGGATGTTCAGAGGAGATAAATCGTTTATCCCTAAAAACATAAGTGCGTCCCAGTTTATGGTTGTAAGTTGAACAATTTGTACTACTCTTCATCTGTTCCCGCGATGGCGCGTGCATGCTTATTACCATTAGGGTGTTTACGGTCTATGGCGCGGTTAGCTCGTCAGTCAAATATTTTTCTTGAAACAAGACTCTTGTTATGGCTTTAACTACGGCGTGCCGCGCACGTGCCAGTCTTCAATGTAAAGCTTCTGAATTGTCTTTTTCAATTGTCGACATGTTTGAAGTTAATCGTTATTTAAAAGTGACAAGCAAAGCGCCTGGGGACGATCGAGGCAGGAAGTCAATCACTTTCAATTTATATTCAGAAAATAAAGTCGGTTTATTTCTACTTTTATCGATAAATGAAACTTTTTCAAGACTGAAATTAATTCGCGCTAAGGCGAGGTGATTACAAGCCTATATTCACTTCACCTTCAGCTAAGTGAATATAGGCTTGTAATTACCTCGCCTTATATTAACTATGGGTAATAATTATTATTCCAATACAACCAGGCAGCAGCGTGGCAACGTCTTCAAACAACTTAGCATCAAATGTGGTATAACAACTGCCTAAAATAGCCAAAACACTTCTCGACGTTTCGACCTGATCTTTAAGCAGCATTTGAAGGGAAAAATATTCAGTACAAAATTAACAGCGATGTACATGTACTTTCACTCTGTTCAGTCCCTCACTTACCCAGTTCGATTTTTTCGATTTCTACAGGGAAGAGGACTTCGATTCCATAGTTTTCAGATTGGATACTTTCTGTGGGGTGAGTGAATGGCCTTAGTTGACCCGTGGTAAAAAATTAGAGCATTACTTTCTCTTACAGACCAACATTAGGCAACTATATCGATAGTTTATAATTGCATAACTATTTTTAAACTGTTTTAACCATATTGTAGTTTGTTCTTCTGGGGCCGGTTGTTCAAAGCTAGGTTAGCGCTAACCCTGGGTTACTTTTACTCCGCTGTTTTGTTTATATGCTTCGGAACCACTGTTTGTTTCAAGACTTTACAAAAGAAGACTTTTATTGTTACACAAAATATTTATGAAAAAACTTCACAAACGAGCGAGTAAAAAAATTGATGAAGAAATTTGAGTTAAGAGTGTTTTGAGAGGGTCAAGCTGACCGGCTTTTAAACAACCGATCCCAGATGTCACTTTTTTTTCATTGTAGGATTAATTTTCGACTGGATTACCTTGTTTCTTCTCTGTTTTGTTTTATTTCTTCTGCAATATCGTTTGGTCTGGAAAATTATTCATCACTTTGTTGGTGAATCCAGGTAGGCGGGATCAATTGTGTATATATATATATATAATATATATATAATATTATATATATATTATTAATATATATATATATATATATATATATATATTCCAAATAGACTTTTGTAGAACACAGAGTGCTCAATACATAGAATGCAGAGCGTGTTATAGTACGTTGCCTGATGATTGCTTAAATGCATGAAACTTAAAGTAGCAACTAATTGAAAGAATTGAATTTATAATTGTCATATATGTCATTCAACCGTCGTACAAGGTGTATTAAAAACACGGAACGACTAAATAAATATTCAGGTAGTTCTAAGTCTTATATTGTAAATTTTCCTACAAAATGTCCCAAAAACCACCAAAATTATTGATTTAACCGATAACAATGAAATAGTTAGAGTTGAATGGCTAAGCACCCTGTTGGGACCCACAAGTGTATAAATTTTTTGACCCAAGCATTTTTATGCATGATGACATCAAAAATGGTTTGTATCCACAGATGAACTTGTCTTTATTAACAATATTTACAGTTTCAAATATGGATAACAACAGTATTTGTAAACCCTCTTCTCTGGCAAATTTCGAATTTTTGCATTTAGCATTTTATAAGTTGCGTTTAATCACAGTTATTAGAATATACATGGTTTGGAGACTAGATGAAAGTACAATACAACTCATTATCTATGTTATTGTCCAGGTTTATGCAAAAAATGGTTCCTTATCCGTCACATGTCTATTGTATTTTAGCCCAACTAACCAATAGCAATGGCTTGGCTTAGCTCCTCAACCGTGACTTGAACAACATGTTAATTCAGACCTTACTATTGGTTTACTTGTTCAAAATACATTAGACACGTGACGAATAAGGAACAATTTTTTGCATAAATGTTCCCCGACATAGATAATGAGTTCTATTGTACTTTTATGTAGTCTCCAAACCATGTATATTCTATTAACTGTGGTTTAATCATCACGGGCAAAAATTTGCGAACAAGTCATTCGAAATATAACAATAGATGACTGAAATGGTTTTGGGATTTTTTGAAAAGTACCTTCCACCTAAAATGAAGCCTTTTGTTTTGAGCGTGGGTTGGGATACCTGTTGGAATTTTAGTGAATGGCGGAATAATGAAACTTACCGATCGGCCAAATAGTATAACAAAAAAATAAGGCAAACAAATTCACACAAATACATTGTGTGAATTGGCGGTAAGACGAAGTTGTGTTTTGATATCCTGGTGAATTGTTTTTTGTTTTAGAAACTATTATAGTTCCGCAAAGGTATAACTGCACTTGTTTACTCAGTTCTGATTTCAAGAGAGGTTACTTTTTTTAGGGCGTCTAATTTCTTTGCTTCAACAAAGTCCCGTCTTCCTTTTCATTTAGCATTATGGCGGGAGTGGCTTTTTTCATATGGATGTGTACCCTCATTGCTTCTGTGACAATATTCCGTGATTATAACTACTCCAGGAATGTCATTTCCATAAACAACAGGTACGCCTTAATCAGTTCAAAGTACTCGTTTTCGGTTATAATTTCAACATTTGTAGTTTAATAGGACTATTTTTAACAAGATGTGATTAAACTTGGCAATTTAGAAGTAATTTTATCCAATCCAACACCTGACGTCGTTATAATGAAAGTTAATGGTTAAGGATTATTTAAAATGGACGACAATCATAGCAACTCGTTGTTTTTAGTAAAAATATAAGAAGACTCAATTGAAATCGGCATTAACTGCTGAACACAACTAATATCATGTCTATGATGAATGTAAAAATAAAATTTAAGATATACATGCACGCATGCATGGAATTAAAGGAGATTTCGAAAATTCCTAAGCTGACTATCATTTATCCTGAGTTTCATCATCATGAGGAAATATGTATTTATATTCACTTTATGCCTTCGAATGTGTATGCTATATGTCGATCTTAGTTATTCACCAGGCATATCTGAAGTGCAAACCCAGACTCTGTTTTTACGTCCTCCCTAGAAATCTCTATTTGGTATTTTCCTACTTTTGGTTTTTTTTGGGTCTTCCGATGGGTCTCTTTTCCGCCATTTTTCGTATCCTGAAAACAATGGCTGTGGGACTTCTGATGTTACCAAGAATTGATTATAGCATCATGCCTGATGGTTTTCAACGCATTGATCCAGGTAACACCATATTATAGTCCATACATTATTCACTTCCTTTCGACCTCAGTAAAAGCATGAAGGCAATGCACTTTGTAATAAAGGTAAAGGCAAGGCACTTTGTGTTTCTTTCAAGGGGGAATTTTGTTTTAGACCAATCAGCAAGTTTTTTTTTACATTTTCAGTAACCCAATCAGAATGCATAAGTTTTGATAAAGAGTACAATATATATACCATTTTACATGAAGTATTTGAAATTTAGGCATTCTGATTGGCTTTGCCTAAAAAATGTAAACAAATATGGCGATTAGTTGAGAACGAAATTCCTCCTTGTTGTTTCTTTACCAATCTGATCTTCCCAACGCGTGTCAGCACAGCAACTGTCAACCTGTACCGTCTGTAACGTTTATGTTTTCCTCATTTCTTCGAAAGGTTACAATGCGTACATCTGTTATCTTCACGTCCAGGCAGCTTTTAGAAACCCAGTTCTTCGAGTGTTTTGTCAAATGCTGATCGATGATCACGAAACACGTAAGTTCTACCACGTATCAGTGTTTACGTTAGCCACTGGAAGCAATAATTAGTCTTAAACGGTAATAATAATCCATGTTCAAATTCCAAATACGGGAATTTAATCCTTGAGATTAGATAAAAAATTGGATTAGGATTAGGTTTTAGATTAGGATTTTGTTCATTAGGGTTAACCCTAATTCGAACCTAATCTCAAGAATTAAATTCGTGTATTTACGATTTACTGAACATGTATTATTACCTACCATGAATTATTACCTTTTTAAACAGTCGGTGCTTCCACCGTTCCACGCAGAGGCTTCATTCGTCTTCACGGTAAAAGAATCGTTACTTCAATGTTTTCAATTTAGAGAACCCTAATTTTTAGTCTCACGAGCTGAGCGCAAAGATGCGAAATATATGTTTGTAACAAATGCATCAATTATTGCTCCATGAATTAATTTATTAATTTAGATAGCGTTAAGCGATAAGCATTTTCGTGTTCGCATGATGCAGGAACCCTAGCTGACCTGAACCTCGTCAGGCAGACAATCGCCCACTTTCCTAAACTTCTTCGGCTGGTATGGCAAAAGGTCTAAACTGCAACTTATTCAAATCAGCCCCTGACTTCCTCGTCGTTGTATATATCCTAGAAAGGAAAAGTGGACCAAAGTGGAAACGTTCTCCCCAGGCCCGCGCCAAGTGGTTCATCGCACTCACCTTGGCTCGCAATCCACAACTTGCAGCTGAACGAAAACGTGCGAAGACAATGTGTGTCACTGAAGATAGCGACGTCAAAATCGAGATTGGTAATTATGGGCCAGATAATACAGGATTAATATTAGATAAGTAAACAATGTTAAGTTTGCATGTTTCTTTAGATTTTCTTTTTTTTATTGGCTAGTTATAGTTGTATTACGTTTGGAAACGAACCGTGCAATCGTGCATGACAAAACATTTTCATCCACACATTTTCGAATGTGAAAAGAAGGACGTTTTGACGATATCAGGCCTTGTTGCGGTTAATGATTAGAAGAAATGTGTGTTAAAATAACAAATATAGTGCACCAATACCAGTTGGTTTTTGCTTGCAATGTTTCTATCTTATTGTACGCTCGTGACAAATTCATGTGGCCCGTTTTGTGTATCAGGAAAAATTTACGAAAATAGCTAAATTTTGGCTTCAAGGGCGATTTTATGGGAAGTATCAATGGCTGTGCAACTAATCACGCTTCTGGTATTTGAAAATACCTTCCTTAGGGTTATCAAAACAAGCTACACACAAAGCGAATTAAGCTGATTAGTTCGAATACAAATGGCTACGTTAAGAACAGAACTAACAGAAGTTTTTTTTCGTTACATACTGTGCAACTTTCCTTGCAACTTGCAATACATTTCAACTCCTGAGGGCATCTAAAGTTGACAAAGACAAACATTTCTTACCATCTGTTAAAGTGCCTATATCACTTGTGGGATCTTTACGGATTTGAATAGAGCTTGAAAAATTAGTTTATAAGTTCTACAACCCTTTTTGATATAATTAAATAGTTTCGAAAATACGTCGGTTGGGGGGACTGGGACTCAGGAATGATTTGCAAACACGCCGTCTTTTATAATGTAAACATGAAGAGTTTCACTGGCGATATAGTTTGCGCTTTTCAAGAAAAAAATGCAGTTAATACTCTTTCAAAGTTGTGCTTTTCGCTGCAAAGTTCTTTCGGCATAATGTCCGGGTACCTGGATTTCGATCAAGAACCTTTCTCAAAACGCCTTTTGTACCACAGCTGGTTCCACAGCTGTGCTTTACATCTGGATATAAGTCTGGACGATATAAACTCTCTCTTGAGCATGCATTATTGTGCAGAATTTTTCCTTTTAGAAGTAATGTCAAGTTTCCAGGATCGAGCAGATTTAAGGCTTTTGTGTTGCAACAAAGATAGGTAATATATGCACGAAGCTGACAATATTTCACACATCGATAGGCTTTGCATAGTGAAGGGGGGTGTTGGTTATACAATAGATTGATTTCTATAAAGATCTTCTTTTTATACACCCTGTATAATTTTATTTATAAATTTGCATTCTAGATGCAAATTTCCCTGTCGAGTTTTCTTTAACCACCTGCATGCACGCACGTAAAAGTTTAAAATCATAAATGATGCTTATTTATGCATACGGATTGTACGGTTCTGTTAATAATTTGATGTTTTTTTCGCCCTTTATTGCAGTCTGTCCAATTTTAACTGCATTTCCCTGTTTATACAATTTAAAATATTCATCTTAATAATTATACATGCATCTTTAGCAAAAGGTGCATGCGTACATTATCCAAATGCGTGTGTAGGATATATACGGTTCGCGGAAAGTTATGGATTTTATGATCGAGTGGCAAAGACATGCAAAGTCTAAGCCTTAGTTTATTGACAAAAGGAGATAGTTTGTCGTGTGTTTATACTCAGACAGATCTCCGTCCGTCTCTAGTATAAATTGTGCCAATATATTTCTATGACCACGCGCGTCAGTGCAACAATGACCTATATTTGAATACAGAAATAAAGACAAATTAAGATCCGGACTATTTCTCATCAGTAAAATATGACACGACATTTGCACCGAAATGGAAACCGGCTTTACAGTATTTTTTGTATTTAGACGAACTATATGTAGACGAATATGTCAAACAAAATGGAATCGCGCGTTTAGAAAGTGCACGGGCAATCGGGCATGTACGCTATACTACAGCATGTATATATTATTATTATCTTCTCCGAGCAAATCAAGTTTGGCCACCTGTTATTACAGGCCAGGGTGAATGCCTAAGCAGGCGTCTGGTTTCAAGTAAAAGGAAGCGTTTGCATACAGAGTTGCATTTTGTTTCCACAAAAAATTAAATTGTCGGTAAGTTTAGATTACAATATATATATATATATACATACATTTTGCCTACTCGTTGACAAAATTATGGACATTGTTATTATTTTATTGAAGACGGTCTTGTTTGTGTATAGTTTGCCTATATATAACTTATATTCTACCTTACTCGTTTACATGCAAAATCAGTGAAAATGAAAGAGCCATGCAAATAAAGCGGTAGTCTGATTAATGTCATTAATTCCAAATGCTTCCATTACGGCATTAACGATCTAATCAACACGCTGACGGTGGGACTCCCAAGTGTGGCGATTGCTTGTTCATAATAGCAGGTAATTTATATATTTATGTAATTACATTCGCCAATGCCTGTTATGATTGTATTATTTGTTGTGTATACTGCTGAGGCTTGCCATCAGAAATTCTCCGATACAACCACTAGAGTTTTTAACTGATTTCAATATTTATTCATTCAAACTGATTTGTATGGGGTATACATGGTGTGCATGTGACCTAATTCACGAAATTTGGTTGGGTATAAACATACCTCAAATTAAGATTGAGAGCTGGGTGAATACTACCACGTGATCATGAGATTTTTTGTTGCATAAAAATTGCGTGATATTGGAACAAACTTCGTGGGATGTGTTAATTTGGAATAAAAGTATAAAGCATTTGCAAGGGTTTATTTATATGACGATATTGCTTTTGACCAAACTTTGAAACTTCGCGATAAAATAAACTTTTATTACTTTATTTCCTTGTCAGCTGGCTTACGGAGTTCATCGAATATTTGAAAAAATCTTAACTTCCGGTTTCGAATTGACCAATCATATGCGTCTATTTATTTTTATTATCCAATAGGATTGATTAGAGATTGTTCAACTTGAAACTGGAAGTGAGGAGTTTTTCCAATATTTGATGAACTCCGTAAGCTAGCCAACTGATAAATTTGGGCAAATGTATTACTAAAGAATTTTGTGATTGCATGTACTTTTACAAAAGGAAATTGAAACAATATTTTCTTGACCTCATGTTCATGTTGAGGAACTTGAACAATTCTCTTGTAACGTAGCCACGTAAAAATAGATCAAAATGCCAATGTTATACTTATACTAATTCTTATATTTCACTATTTTTATCTGTGTATATATATTCGAGAATATCCTATTTATATTTTTGGTAGTGAGTGAGGCCCATTAGAAAGAATAGCGTTTTGCTAATAATGCTGTTCAACCGGCTGTAATAATAATGGTCACAAGTGATGTTTACAACACGAGCGGCCATTTTGTATTGAATATAAATATGCAAGTCAGTTACAAACACTAGTGGTTGTATTTTTGAATGTAATTTTTTGGGGTATACAGGGCGTGCATGTGACCTAATTCACGATATCTTTTATAGCTTAGGTAACTTACCAGCAATGAATGACAAAGACTCTTCCACTGCGTGAGTATACATGATAATAGCTTAGCTATAAATGTCTGTAATTGTTTCAAGTGCCGATATGTTTTCTTATTTCTATATAGTGTTGCATGTGATGTCGATGCAAGATATTATCCTCATTTCTTATTGATTCCTGCTGTAAGTTTAAAATGTCACACTTGTGTTATGAAGCCTTACTCGGCACCCTGTGGCTTTCAAAAAAGGGCTATCGAAATAGGATGATAGGAAGAGCTTAGTTAAGATTAGGAACTTGCCATGTTTACTATTCAGGGTGTATACTGAGAAATAGGCTTGCTAAGTGTGCATGTGGCTACTGCGTCTATAATCTGTTGTGGAGTAATGTAGCATAATGTAAGTAAAAAAAATCTGTTTCAGGCAATAATTCTTACGATTTTGGCGTTTTTGCGACGAAGAAAAAGTTACAAGAAAGATTTTTGGGGAGGTCGACCAGGACTCGTTATGTAAGTTCATTTTTGTAAGGATGGTACCAGACCTGTCTGTCGAATAAGAACTCTTAGAGAAAGGACGGTCTGTTTTTGTTGTAGCTAGTGAGTCACCAACAAGACAGGTTAGAAAGTATGAAATTAAATTTTCTAGCATTTCAACAACTAGTAATGACTGAAAGCCTATAAATTCATCACTATATATATACGCTAAATATGCTAATTATCCTGAGAGCTCGAGTTGAGATAAGTTACTCTTTGTATTAAATAAGGCATAATCAAATCAAACGTTGGAAAATTAATTATATTAAATCTATACAATCTGAGACACGGGAAAGCGGAGACTTCTATTTCGCCGTGTTTAGCCCAGTAGATTTCCTTGGTATTGATCATGACCGACTTGCCACCATGTTTGTGTTTGGAGCTGCTACGGATTCAATCATTGCGCTCGTCACAAAGGTTGGAATTTCAGGTGCAAATGGTTGGGAAAAAGGTAAAAATCATCCATGCGAACATCTAAAATAACATGAGTCGTACTGTAAAGAATTTTTAATTTCGCTGGATTTTCTTTTCAATTGTGACCGGCCAAGGCAATCTGTTATAGCAGAATTCTCACAATTGAAAAGAAAATCAGGCGAAAAATGATGATTTTTTTAAATGAGAAATGTTGCCTAGTGGAAAATCGCCTTCAAGCAAGCCACGCAAAACAATTTGTTTGAAAATTTTGCTATTTCAATTATTTTTCTATTCTCCCAATTTTGAATTTTTCTTATTGACGAGGTATTTCTAAAGTTATTCTTGAATTCCAAAAGTATCGTTTAAGTAATTGTACCCGTTTTTTTGTAAATTACATCCAGGGTTCCTTCTCTTCGGCATTGCAATTGAAAATGCTGTCATTTATTATCCCTTCTTTGCTTGCCTGACGACGTATCACAAAATAATTGGAGCAATGATGGGCCTTCCATATTGTATAGTCAAGTAAGTGTGCTGATAATTATTGATGTTTCCAAAAACAGTTTGAGCATCAGCTGTTTCCCATCGCTTTCGATAAAATCCTTCGATGACGTTTTAACCTGGAAACAGACCTCGAACAACGTTAAGCGAACACCCATAATGTATGCACGTGTATGCGACAGTATCATATTGGCCTTATAATGATACTGGTAAAAATGTTGTGAACCCACATAAAATTGCAAGGTGTAGGAGGACACGACTTCTCCAGTTTTTGAAGTTGTGGGGGGGTGTCTAATTATCCCTCTTGAAAAGCGATCCAGACCTTCCCCCCTATTTCATGTTAATTTAAGCGACATCTCTATGTTTTATCTTCCTCCTTCCTCTATCCGCCTTATCTTCAAACCTTTAGTCGCCTGAAAAATTTCCCCTATGGGTGGTGGTCTTTTAATAGATTGTTTTACAAACGTAGGTTATAACACACACACATTTTATATTTATATATATATATATGTATATATATATGTATATATATATATATATCCAAAGAATTAACTGTAACGAAGAGTTCACAGAACTTGACAATGGTTGAAGAGCGCTTAATACCATTACCGGCAAAGCGAAGATATATTTATTTATTAAAAGACTAGCTTAGCTACTCGGAGTTTCAATTTAGATTTAGCCTGATGATCGCTTTATAGCGTGAAACTCCGAGTAGCTAAGCTAGTCTTTTAATAAATAAATAAATATATATATATATATATATATATATATATATATATATATATATATATATATATATATATATATATATATATATATTATTGGAAACACGGAAACTGGGAAACAGCTTGCATTTTCGCCCTTGTAAAGTCAGGCAATTAACTTTTGTTTGCGTTTTCATTCCAGTTTTTGTGTAAATTTAACACAAAGTTTTCAGAAATGTCGGGTAAGCTTATTTTGGCAATTTAGTAATATAGCAGCGCGCTTGAGGAGCATGTAAAAATATCGGCGCATAAAGATTTGCCGACCTTTATTTCTACCGCGAGTGAACGTGAAGGTAGCCTACGAATATTTAACTTCATTTTTAAATTCTTATAGAATTATTCTTCAACCGGTTTCGCAGTAATCATAATGAGCAGTTTGCCAATCGTGATAAACCATTTGTTTATCCTGGGAAAGTTCATATTCGTATTTTATCAGGAGATCAAAGAATATGGAATCTTCGGAGTAAAGTTATTTTCCCGCGATGTAAGTATTTTTGTGACGTAATCTTCATTATACACGATACGAGTTTAAAAACAGTACGAATTTCCCCTGGGATTGAGAGAGGGATTGTAGTCACATTAGTGTAGAAAATTGTTCAAAATTGGTCGAGGGGATGTTCACGAGGCAGCGCCATGGTTGGTGCCGAATTTTCAAATTCCACATGAGCCTCTAGATATTTGGAAACAGACTATTTTGAGTACGACTAGCCTTAAATATTCGTAAATACCATGAGAGGGGGTTTCACACCCCACCAAACTTGTTGATCGAGAGATCTGCTCAGTTTTCATAGCTGTATTTTCACACGAATAAGAGCTTGATTTTCAGTGCTGATGAGAAAACTGTTGCTGATGAAGGGGGCCCAAATGAATTGCTAAATAAGCAAAGCGACTTTTCGCGAGATGCGCCGGCATGTAACTAAACACCAATTTAAGTAACCACACGACGCTAGGGAGACGATCAGTGTATACTGTGTAATAATAGACATGCATGAAGATCACTTCTAGCGTGAAACTCGGAGAAGCAATAGCATTAAAAACGTTCTGAATGTCCGTTTAGGATGAAAGTTCGTCTACACAAGTAAAATTGCTCAGACCTTGGTTGAAGGAACACGTGAAGAACATTTTCCAACCAAAGTATGATCATGTGTAATACCATTGCGCCAAAAGAAGTAGCTATATGCAGGCAAAACGAACTATTTTAAAAATGACCGTCAACATATTGTAATCTTACAGCCGGTAAAAAGCATTCAACGAGAATAGGAAAAAACTTGTTAAACATTTCTGGTAAACTTGTGCTCTGGTAAACTCTGGTAAATTAAGTTATCGTCTAATTATATAGACATGGAAAAATCTTCTATAAGTGTGATCAGTTATCAGTTTATCAGGTTATCAGTTAAAACGAGCTTCTTACCAGACTTATAACACCTTTTTTTCAAACTAATTCCTGTTATTCAGAATGAGCGGATAAAGTGGCCAAAAATCACTGATTTCAAGTTTCCATTGAAAAGTTGAATATCGTATATAGGAGTTTGAAAGCGTCTTCAAACAAAAACCACAACCACAAGAATGCCCAGCTTCACTCATTTAGATGCAGTGAATTTCAGCATCTTTAGTTCTACTAAATGTTGTTTTTGCGACCAAGGGTAGTAAAAACAACTTTGGACTTTGTTCCATGATGTTCTCTTTCAAACTGTCTTGTTAGAGTTTACTTCGAATTGCTAGTAAATTGCTCTCTGTCTCAAATAAACCTTACCTTTTGTTTAATAATTTCTTTCTTGAAGGCGCGTTTTGTTTTCCTAAAATCTGTTTTTAACTTTGCGACATCAGACTGGGAAAGTTTCTATCCTAGTTATTTTCTTTTCTTACTTTTCTAGACCTCCTCGTCAATATTCAAGAATGGAGCTTTTTCTGAGGAAAGTTTACAATCCCGAAAAAGGTAGCTATATGACCTTGTTTGATAATTGGATGATTTATACGATGAAGCACTATTACCTATATTCAAAGAGCACATTCACACTAGTTGAGTGTAACATAAAAAAAAGAGTAAATTTATTAGATTATTATATTTTTTATTATCTAGATTTATTAATATTTAACTAAACATGGCTATCTAATTACTTCATTTTATGTACTTATACATGCGTTATTTCATCATCATTCTTTTCCTGATGATGCATGACTATAGTTTAGTCGAAATGTCGACAATTATATTTTTCAAAATGTTTACTTTTTTTACACAGTTTATATTTTATTAAAATACTCAATGGTTCCCATAATTTTTAATAAACAACAGTATATGATAAAAAGATTATTTCCTCAAAAAGATCATTCAGATTATTAAAAGATCATTTCAAACGTTCAAGAACTCTCACTTAAGTTTTTACGATCTTTCATTTGACATTTTAAGATTTTAAGTTTTCGACTGAAACTCTCTCTGTGATGATGATCTGTGGCATTCTCCTTTATAATGTAAGTTTTGCATTTTTTTAAAAATATTATCACCAAAAAATGAAGCATCAAATGTGGTATAACAACTGCCTAATATAGACAAAACACTTCTCGACGTTTCGACCTGAGGGCCTTCGTCATTTTCATACCAACTCTCCTGCCGAAGGCCCTCAGGTCGAAACGTTGAGAAGTGTTTTGTCTATTTTAGGCAGTTGTTATACCACATTAATGTTTTTGATGCTAAGTTGTTTGAAGACGCTGCCACGCTGCTCCCTGGTTATATTGGAATATACATTATATAAAAATTATATGAGTAAAACTGCTTAATCCAATTAAATCGGTATATTTGCGTGATTTAGATATCTATGCAAAACATTTAAAAGCTAATATAGAGAATAATATTGCTAATAATTCAATTTTCAAATATTTGATCCAAATTTCTCAGAACTGTTAATATAACGGTCTCAATTCAGCGTGGTTATCCATATCAAAATATTTGACATCGTAACCAAAGCATGGTTAATGTTTGTATATGAGCCAAAATATGTTGGAAACCTTACAAATATTTTCTATTTCCCAATAATCCTTAAATTGTGAGGCATTTGCGGCCATTTTAGAAGCCTATATGTATATTTCAAAATTTTTCCGGACTTTCCTAACGGGGGCGTGGTTCCGAGCCCCAGCAATACAAAAAAAGTTCCGCGGTCCCTGAAAACGAGTTTGTGATTTGCTTCCTAGCTCGTGTTGCTGTTTGTTTTAGAATTATGATTATAAATTCCCGAAAGTATAACTTCACGGATTCACGACAAAATATCTGGTTTCAATAGTGGGTAGTTTTTATTCGGAAACCTTGTACGCTAACAGATACTTGTCTTTTTATCTTTAAGTTTTGCATTGAATTAATCTATTTGACAAGTGTGGAATTGGAGGAAATCGAGAAAGCAAAACCTTTGAATGCTTTAGAAGAAACAATTTTGGATTTGTTGCGTGGGATTTTTGGTTGGTGTTCTCGAGTTCTATACAGTCACTATAAATATCGAGTTGTACGATATGAGAATACTAGAAAGCTGTTTTGAACATTTTTTTTACTAGGTTCATTTTTGGTTAGTGCGATCCTCACGACTGTGATCTGTGCGCTCTCCCTCATTCTTTTCATGGAAAATCATAAGTATGAATACGAAGAAAAAAATGCGTAATCCATAGTTTATGATATTCAGGGTGCCCCTCAAAACGCAAGACGAATAAGCTAATGCATGCATATAGTACTATAAGCCGAATCCACGAGTTAATGAAGATTTGCCGCAAAACAGTCAATAATTACTAGTTATATAAACTTGTGCAAATCTTCATGTCAGACGAAACAAATTAAACCCATGGTGGCATATTCAAAATTTAGTTCTTTTCAACTTTATTTCGCGAAAGCATTAATTGTTTTATTTGAATTGTCATAGAACTGTCGAGATATTTTTTTGTTTGTAAAACATGTAAACATGTATTTTCTACTGTTGACTCGCCTTCTCAATTAATCGCCTGTGAAATTATACTAAACAATTACTCACCTCAGGCTCAGTGAATGCCGTTGAATAAAAAACTCGACTTTGTATCGGCTTTTATTCAGCGATATTCAACTTGCCTTCGGCGAATAATTGTTAAGTAATTCGTTGTTATGAGAAATTCGACATATAAATGCGGAATGCGTTGATTACGACGAATTATGTTATATGAAAACCAGACTTTAACCTGCATTATACACACTTGAAAAATTTCCTCAGAGCAGAATATGGGCCTTGATCATGCGCAGTAAAGTATTTGAGATATTTGTGTTACGAGGAAAGAATCCCAAAATCTTTCGAACATTTTTTCACCGGAAAGAATCTTGCAATCGGAAAATAATTACGGTTTGGGGGGGGGGGGTTGTGTTGGATTAGTTTTTACATGATCTTCCTTGTAATTTGTTTCAGGAATAACATGCTGAGGATGTTCAGAGGGGATAAATCGTTCATTGCTAAGAACATAAGCGTGTCACAGTTTATGGTTGTAAGTTGAGAAGTTCTTTTTACTATACCTCTAAGTTCCTTAAAAAATAACATATTGCTCATCCGAGCAGTGAGTGTGCCTAGTCGCGCCTGTAGAGTAGTAAAAATGAAGATTATAGCGTCAAGTATAAGATGCTAGAGCACACACATGTATATGGTAGTGAAAATGTGGAATAAACAGTGGTTAAGTAGAACTTAGAGTACATATGTGTGTAGAGTGGGGTAAATGTGGAATAAGCAGTGGTTAAGTAGAACTTAGAGTACATATGTGTATAGAGTGGGGTAAATGTGGAATAAACAGTGGTTAAGTAGAAGTTAGAGTACATATGTGTATAGAGTAGGGTAAATGTGGAATAAACAGTGGTTGAGTAGGCTCAGTAAAGTAAATGGGGAATCATGTAGCTACTCATTGGTGCATCAAACCCCAAATGAACAATTTTAAGTATTGACCTAATTTAGTTGTAAAGAATGCTATAGGGATATACTTGGTTTACGTGTAAACAGTTCAAACCACAAGTTTTGAAATTAATAATTAGAATTTAATGACGGCGGGAATTCACTGTCTTTCGCTACCAAGCAATTGAACTTCCGTTCTTCCATTTTTCCAGGGAAAGGGACTTCGATATCATAGTTTTCAGATTGGATACTTTTTGTGGGGTGAGTGTTAGTTGATTATGCATGATATAGGTATATTATACCATCGCATTTATGCTTTACTTCTAAATCAGTGCGTGGTAGATTAGCACTTGCAATTTACCACTAAAGCAATTTAGGAGTCTAAAAAACAGCTAAAGAGGTGCTATTGTAACTCCTTAACTATTGTAACACCTGGTGTCTATACATGAACGAACATCAGGCGGTGATATTGATATATAGTTACCGTAAGGACAGCGGGGGGGGGGAAGGAGATTATATTCATGTATAAACTTTTAGCATTATTAGTTTTTTTTGAAATTGATTGTTTTTACAGTCTGCTAACATGAATATACGAATGAATTGAAGTAGCGATAATTGCGATGGATGAATATAAGAATATTAGCCCAACACTTAACGATCTTCGGCTGACCTTGTACTCGTCACTGAGTCAATAAATTTTTCTCTACAGTAGGGGCCATCCTAATGGTCATATTGTATTGATATCGCTTCTTTTTCTTTGTAGGCCTTGTTTTAAATTGGATTGTCATATTTATCCCATGTGTTCTTTTATATTCCTTGAAATTTTCCATGGTTCAGGATTGGATCCTCGACTATATCAACGGCGGCGGGTAGGGAATCAACTGTGTTTATGTACTCTTCAGATTTTTTCAATTTAGACATTCTTAGCAATGTTATTAAACAATGTGTTTAGGCACATACTGCGCTTTCTTATTTTGCAATGATAAATACTTACTCTTTATAAATATTGCTGGCCGACTTCCCTTGTACATGCATTTTTATGAACAGAGATGCTCAGACCTTTTGACCCAAGACCTGTCGACTTTGATTTACGCTCTAGATGTGTTTTCCTGCAAAGTATATTAACTTTTAGCCTGAATTCTAGCGAAACGTTTAGATGCCTAGTAAAATATGCCCCAAAAATTTCGTAAACTGTATCGAGCCACCTTAAGTCTTAACAGTTTTTGTCTCACATTCTATTTAGCGTACTCTTTGGCTTGGCTCTTTTTTTTCGGCTGTGCTCCATTGCAGCTTCTGTGACAATATTCCGAGATCGTAACTTCTCTAGAAACGTCATTTCCATAAACAACAGGTACGCTTTCGTTGCGCTTTCTGAGAGGCTAGACGGTACACTGGTTGAGTCAGATTCCAATATCACGAAGCCGTCATTTTTACCTTGGAAATATCGTATATTTTTATCCTCTCCACAGGAATGTCTATTTGGTGTTTTCGTATTTTTGGTTTTTCGTGGGACTTCCGATGGGTTTCTTTTCTGCCATATTTCGTATCCTAAAAACAATGATTGTTGGATTTCTGATGTTGCCAGAATTGATCATAAGCATCATGCCTGATGGTTTTCAACGGTTTGATCCAGGTAACGCAAAAAAGAGAGAGAGAGTGAGAGAGAGGGAGAGAGAGTGAGAGAGAGGGACAGAAGGGTGGGTAGAGGGAGAAATTAGGTTTAAGTTATGTGTTTATATTTAGACTTTTTTATATATCCCTTGCCATCTTAAAAAGTGCGTAGACAAATATCGTACGTTAATTTTTCGAATTGCATAAAGTGCAGAACGATTTTTAAATTATCTCTATCTATACACTTATACTATATACTATATACTATATAGATAGAGAAAATATAAAAGCATTGCTTACCCAAAATCCTCCACTACCGTCTGTTTCATCCGTGTAGGAATCTTCAGGTGGTAGACAAATAAGAAATGATGCATGCCGCTTAAGTAGTTTTGGTTGAAACGTGGGTGGGTGGACGTGCCAACAATGCATGCATTTCGAAGTTTTTTTTTCGTATCAGCGTGAAACATTCTTTCATGATTACATGAGGAATCTAATTCTGATTTCTTGCTTAGCAAAAAGGCCTTATTCTTTATATTTTGGAAGAAAAACTTTGTATTTTGAAATAAAAGGACATCAGGCCCATTGAACAAAATGGCGCTTTGTTAAACAAAAAATCAGAATTAGTTTCCTCTTGTAATCACAAAAGAATGTTTCTCTCCGATTACGTCATACCGAACACTAAATATCAAACTCTAGTGCTCTACTTAATTATTGCGGGTCTGTAACGTTGTTTTTATTGTTTTAAAAGGTTACAATGCGTACATCTGTTATCTTCACGTCCAAGCAGCTTTTAGAAACCCAGTTCTTCGAGTGTTTTGTCAAACACTGATCGATGATCACGAAACACGTAAGTTCTACCACGTATCAGTCTTTACTGAAGCACTGAATATTGATATCAAAGAAATAGTGGAAACCTTGCTCTATTATAGAATATGCGTTAGTATAAGCAAGAAAGGTTAAAACCTATACACAACGGTTAACGGTAGCTTGTAGATAGTTATTAATCATCAACAGGAGCAAAACGGGCTATCCATATAATTATTATCAATTAATTTAGCTGTTTTTAAACTATTCTCGCAATCGTTCACATTAATGGACCTTTTCCATAATAGACCAACTTTTGAGTTTGAAGACAAAAAGAGAATTTCCGAAAAGTCCATACAAAAATTAGTAAAATTGCCAAGTTTGGGTGCGAAATATTGTAAGGTGCGGAAAATATAGCCATGCGAATTTGGCAATTTTGTATACTTTTCTATTACAGCCGGACGTGTGTAACTAAATTAGTTACACGCTTCCGGCCGTAGTAGAAAAGTATACAAAATTGCCAAATTCGCATGGCTATATTTTCCGTGCTACTTGACATTTTGAAACCAAACTTGGCAATTATACTAATTTCGGTATGCTCTTTTTAACTGTGGTGATTTATTTCATCCTTGTCACCTGGGTAATGAGTTGGTCTATTATGGAAGAGGTCCATTGGTATAGTGTTCCCACTCAGTCAAGTACTCAGAGAATATATACCTAGCTATATATTTAAAAACTTTATATATATATATATTTACATCATTCATTATATATGCGAATACTATAATATTCATATAAGTTCATGATTATAATTATGCAACTGATTAACGATACAACAATTGGTTATTTGAATGGTATAGAAAAGAGAGTATTATAGACTCTGCAATCCTGCTATGTTTGTGGTGGTCGCGTAACGATATTAACCGCGAACGTCAAATTCAGTTTTCCAATATTAAACCATATTTATCTGACTTCCTCATCGTTGTATATATCTTAGAAAGGAAAAGTGGAGCAAAGTGGAAACGTTCTCCCCAGGCCCGCGCCAAGTGGTTCATCGCACTCACCTTGGCTCGCAATCCACAACTTGCAGCTGAACGAAAACGTGCGAAGACTATTTGTGTCACTGAAGATAGCGACGTCAAAATCGATGTTGGTAATGTTGGTAATTATGGGCCAGATAATACAGGATTAATACTAGATGAGTAAACAATGTATAATTTGTTTTTTCGAATTTTGGTAAATGTAGCGATAGAACCGTAGAAAAACAAGTACAGTCCGTGAAACCCGTCTGTGATCAGACCAGTTTTTCGTCTCTAATATTATGAATTTGGCTAATTATTAGAAATCCTGTTTTAATCCTATTGGAAAACCGTCTTTACGTTAGTTTTGAGAGCACACGAGCAAAAATTTCACTTCGCGCGGAAAATTCCGCGTTGTTATTTAAATAAGCTGCAAGTGCTGTAGGATAACCAGGTCTTCCACTTGCCAGAAAATTACCTTGCAAAAGGAAATAATGAACTTTGCGAAAAGAAAATTTAGTATTCTACTTGTAGTGACAAACCAACTAATAAACCAGTTCTAAATAATTGTTACATAATAGACCACTTTGGCGGTTGTTTCCGTAAGTGGAAACACGTGCTCGCTAATTGGTTTTTCGAGACAAACATAGCCGAAGGTTATATAAAACAAATATAGAATGGTTGCAACTAAGAGGTGCGCTTGGGGTAGATGTAATAGTGATTCTCGCTACCCTGAGCGACTGAAACGAAAAGGCAAGGCTGATGTGTTTTTCCTGCGTTTTCCTGGCGCTAAATACCACAACGAGAAGCGGGAACGTTGGATTCGTGCGTGCCACAGAGGCGACGCATTTAAATGCAAATATCACAGCTTGAACATTCTTTTCCTTTGACAGCTCTGAATCCGTCTGAGTATCAGGCAATGTGTCTTCCATGTTCGATTTATGAATATCGTTGTCGCTAGTTTGCTTGCTTACTTCTTCCCTCAGTGACAACAGTGTTTCCGCTGCGTTGACTTTCGATATTCGAGCTCGTTTTATCGGCGAGGTGTACTCTCTTCCTCGTGGTTTTCTTCGCTTGATCTTTAGTTTTTCTGCCTAAATTCATGAAGTGAGATAATACTCATGGTTTAGCATTTTGTAGTCATAAAAGGGCGACATGGTCTAAAGAGCAACGAGGCAAAAGCAGACAAGGAGCCTGTTGATCAAGCTTTATTACGTAAAACATTTTTTATACTAATTTACATAATTACGCATCCCTGACGCTTTTTAGAAAAGACAGGCTTGCTAATTTGAGTACTTACATTTTCTGCACTTTTTACAGCTGATATAGGGTCTGGGTGTTCGTACGGAGGCCCGTTTTCTCCAACGAAATGAAGGCTGCATATGAAGCTGTGATATTTGCATTTAAATGCGTCGCCTCTGTGGCACGCACGAATCCAACGTTCCCGCTTCTCGTTGTGGTATTTAGCGCCAGGAAAACGCAGGAAAAACACATTAGCCTTGCCTTTTCGTTTCAGTCGCTCAGGGTAGCGAGAATCACTATTACATCTACCCCAAGCGCACCTCTTAGTTGCAACCATTCTATATTTGTTTTATATAACCTTCGGCCATGTTTGTCTCGAAAAACCAATTAGCGAGCACGTGTTTCCACTTACGGAAACGACCGCCAAAGTGGTCTATTGACACTTATCCAAGTTGTGCGAGGTATTTGTATAAATAACACCGGAAACACCCTCTGGCCCCTGAGTTGTAAAAGGGCTTCAAATGCGGATATTTCGATTTATGAATAAAAAGAGGAATAAACTGCTAGGAAAATTGAAACGAAATTTTGTGATGCTTGAAAGAAAATGTAAAGGAAAAACAGGAAAGAAAGGGAAATTCAGATTGCAGCGAGTGGAAGCACTGGCTGTGTGGGTGACACACGGTCGGCGTTAGATCATATCGAACTAACGTACATGACGTCATAAAATTTTCAATAACCCTAACCCTAAGTCCCTAACCGTAATTAAGGTAAAGCCAGAGATACTATTACATAAGTATATGATCACTCCTATACTGGGTATGAGGGTAACAGACATTTACACTTTCGTGTACATTTATAAATGTATAAATGTATCATCATTCATCGCCATTTCTATTTTATCATTTTTATCAACCAGCTCTGGGAAGACTTCATGTAAGACTTCTGTTATTATACTTCCGTTATTGCAAAATTTATGACGTCATGTACGTTATATGGTCTAAAGGCTGTTTTCCACTAGGCGGAATTTTCCGCGCGGAGCGGAAAATTACGCTCGAAAAGTTTCGAGAGGAAAGGCTTTTCAATTTCCACAAGTATCCGCTGCGAGCGAAAAAGTTGGAAAATTAATAAAACGCGCGAAAATCAAATCTCAAATTCAACATGTCGAGTGTAAAACAAAAACAACTGCAAAGATTAATAATTTTAGTTGTGCTTCGTAGGCGACTAGAAAGACAAAATGAAAAATACAAGAAGCGGTTTTGGATGCGGAAGATTTATCAAGAACGCATTTTAAAAGGAGAATTCCACCTGTTAATCAAAGAAATGGTCCTTTTTGACCACGAGTACTTTTTTCGTTGTTTCAGAATGGTACCAGAAACTTTTGAAAAACTTCTTTCTTGGGTTTCTCCTTACATACAGAAAAAAGCAACAAAAATGCGTGAGCCCATTTCACCCAGTGAAAGATTAGCAGTTACTTTGAGGTACCTAGTCACGGGAGATGAACAAACCAGTATAGCAGCTAGTTATCGCATAAGCCCTTCGACCGTAGGAAGGATTATTGGTGAAACGTGTCAAGTTCTTTGGCATGTTTTGATCGAAAACGGCTACTTAAGTGCACCAAAAACTAAAGAACAATGGAAGAAAATTGCTAGAGAATTTGAGAGTAAATGGAACTTTCCACATGCACTTGGTGCCATCGATGGGAAACACGTAGTAATGCAGGCACCTGCTCGTTCTGGATCTGATTATTTTAATTATAAGAAGACACATAGTATTGTGCTTTTAGCAGTCTGTAATGCAGACTACGAATTTACTCTCGTGGACATTGGTGATGCAGGTAGACAGAGTGACGGTAGTGTGTACGCTAATAGCTATCTTGGCCATGCCATAGATAATAATCTATTGAATCTCCCTGGGTCTGAAAAGCTATTCCAACCTGACTCATCAAACAAAACCTACCCTTATGTATTTGTCGCGGACGATGCTTTTGGACTCAAGACTTTCATGATGAAACCTTACCCAGGACAGAACTTAACCCTTGCAGAAAGGGTGTTCAATTATAGACTATCAAGGGCACGGCGAATTATTGAGAATTGTTTTGGGGTTGCAACATCACGTTTCCGAGTGTTTCGAAAACCAATCATTGCAAACGTGGAGAAGGTGATAAATATTACCAAAGCAGTTGTTGTTTTGCACAACTTTTTAATGGCAACAAGATCTCCAGAGGATACCCACAGTTACTGCCCACTTAGCTACACAGATCATGAATCAGCAGCTGGTCAGCAAACTGGGGAATGGAGAAGGGAAGGAAACATTGAAGGAATGGTCCCTATTCCGCAAATTGGTTCAAACAACTATTCTAAATCAGCCAAAAGTACTCGTGATGACTTCAAGGAATATTTCAATTCACAACAGGGTGCTGTCAGCTGGCAAATGGAAATGGTTACGCGAACCTTACATTCACTTGACAATTAAAATACTGTTTAATTCACATCTTATAAAAGAAACTCTCAGTAAATGAATCATACTGTACAACTTTAACTTTAAAATTTTGAGTGTCTATTGTTTTTAGAGAAAGTCACTCTATTTTGATGAAATTAGTCACAGTTCATCATTAAACTCTATATCAAACAAAAGTTGATTTATTTTTATTTTGGCAAGCCTATTTTGTCTTGCAGGCATCTTTTTAAGTATTGGTACAAGGCTTTTGCAAAATAATAAATCTTCATCTTGATCAGTAACAGTGGGTTCTTGCATATCCTTCAATGTCTTCACCAACATTGTATCTACTGCAAATGCCATTTCTGCTCTTGACTTACTTCGCTTTGCAGGTGTATTTGCAATAATTTCAGTCTCTGCTTTACTTTTTCCTGGAGCAGAGGCTGGAATACTCTTTGATGATGTTGGAGTTGAGGTCTCGGGGCAGAGCACTGACTGGGTTACAAAACTAGTAAGTGCAGAAGAATTATTGACTGCTAAAGATGAATCTTCAACATCAATCACTGGTGTCAAATTGCTTTCTGTAGGTTTGTTACAGACTTTGCCATGCAGAAATCTCAACTGATCAAAATACTTGCATGTGGGCAACTTTGATGCAGCTGCCCCTGATTTTGTAGCCTTGGATCTCCTATCAAGGCATTTCTTCAAGTTATCTTTCAAATATTTCAACTGTGTCTTTAAAAATTCCACTGTAAATACAATGAAATACTTTTAAAGTGCATGCAAATCATATTAACAAATGAAAATAAAGAGATAACATGGCAGCATGTAGACTTTACAATAATTTTTCTTAAGAAAATATATTCTAGCAGCATTATTATAAATCTATATTCACTATCTTGCATGCTTATTATGGTAAATTCTTCACCTTTAAATCCTACACTATTAAATTAATGAATGTGGGAAATGGGTGGGATTTGATGTAGACTAGCATTTCTACTTTAAGGCCATGTAAATCTTTCTCTAAAAGCTCCTTATCATCATTTTTTGACAAACTATTGCACTGCATATCACATAATATAACAGGTTAATTTGAAAAATCATAACTGTGAATAGTTATATATTATTAAAACTGTTCATTAAAGAATTCCTACCATCTTTGTTAAATATGTTGGAGAGAATTTTCCATGCATTTTGTTTTGCATTTCTGTCTTTGTAAGAAGATAAAGATGTATTCCACAAACATCCAAGTTTCCGAATTTCTTCAATAAATAACTCAACCTCAAAATCTACTGACATTCCCCTCTCCTCTTCTCCTGCCTCTATGTTGTTTAAAGGAGCTTCACTTGATTCTATTGCTGGATTAGCTATGAGATTTTTTCAAAAAATGAAATATTAATATTTATAAAAATAAATTTTTTTTTACAATAAAGAAATTTGAAAAAAACTAAACTAGGATAATTTATGATGTATGATCTATGAATGACGAAACTTTGTGTAATCTAAGTTTACTTGGCTGTATAAAATTTTGAAAAAAATATAAAAAATATATAAATGTGTTCATTTGATTTGCTATAAAAAATTTCAGTTAAAATACTACTATACATTGAAGAATTTTATAGTACTTCAAATCGAAATCAATTGAAATCAGTGGTATTATAATGGGAAAATTACCGCAAAAAACACCCTTGAAGAATATCAAGGGATATATGATAATATTAAATAAAAAAAGTTGGTGTAAATTGTATAATTATTATTCACCTTGCTCTGTTGCACTATTTGAAATATTTTGAGAAATGTTTCCCACTTGCTTTTCCTGTCGTTGCTGTTGTATGTGACCAAACAGTTCAGTAACTGACCCTTCATCCATTGCAATAAGTTGCTGTTGTTCCTCGGACCTTGCAAGAAGCTCTTTTAAGGAATTTATGCTAGAAATATATCTTTCACGGCTTTCTTCACTCATATTCCTGTCGGCCATGTTGCTCATTGGACGGGCGGAAAGCGGAAAAAGTCGTATTGGATTGAACTTCCAAGCGAAAACGCCATTGCGCCAAACGCAAATATTAAATAGATATTGCGCATGCTCAAAATAGTTTTTGAGCGTAATTTTCCGCTCCGCGCGGAAAATTCCGCCTAGTGGAAAACAGCCTCAATACGACTTTTTCCGCTTTCCGCCCGTCCAATGAGCAACATGGCCGACAGGAATATGAGTGAAGAAAGCCGTGAAAGATATATTTCTAGCATAAATTCCTTAAAAGAGCTTCTTGCAAGGTCCGAGGAACAACAGCAACTTATTGCAATGGATGAAGGGTCAGTTACTGAACTGTTTGGTCACATACAACAGCAACGACAGGAAAAGCAAGTGGGAAACATTTCTCAAAATATTTCAAATAGTGCAACAGAGCAAGGTGAATAATAATTATACAATTTACACCAACTTTTTTTATTTAATATTATCATATATCCCTTGATATTTTTCAAGGGTGTTTTTTGCGGTAATTTTCCCATTATAATACCACTGATTTCAATTGATTTCGATTTGAAGTACTATAAAATTCTTCAATGTATAGTAGTATTTTAACTGAAATTTTTTATAGCAAATCAAATGAACACATTTATATATTTTTTATATTTTTTTCAAAATTTTATACAGCCAAGTAAACTTAGATTACACAAAGTTTCGTCATTCATAGATCATACATCATAAATTATCCTAGTTCAAATTTCTTTATTGTAAAAAACATTTTTATTTTTATAAATATTAATATTTCATTTTTTGAAAAAAACTCATAGCTAATCCAGCAATAGACTCAAGTGAAGCTCCTTTAACCAACATAGAGGCAGGAGAAGAGGAGAGGGGAATGTCAATAGATTTTGAGGTTGAGTTATTTATTGAAGAAATTCGGAAACTTGGATGTTTGTGGAATACATCTTTATCTTCTTACAAAGACAGAAATGCAAAACAAAATGCATGGAAAATTCTCTCCAACATATTTAACAAAGATGGTAGGAATTCTTTAATGAACAGTTTTAATAATATAACTATTCACAGTTATGATTTTTCAAATTAACCTGTTATATTATGTGATATGCAGTGCAATAGTTTGTCAAAAAATGATGATAAGGAGCTTTTAGAGAAAGATTTACATGGCCTTAAAGTAGAAATGCTAGTCTACATCAAATCCCACCCATTTCCCACATTCATTAATTTAATAGTGTAGGATTTAAAGGTGAAGAATTTACCATAATAAGCATGCAAGATAGTGAATATAGATTTATAATAATGCTGCTAGAATATATTTCTTAAGAAAAATTATTGTAAAGTCTACATGCTGCCATGTTATCTCTTTATTTTCATTTGTTAATATGATTTGCATGCACTTTAAAAGTATTTCATTGTATTTACAGTGGAATTTTTAAAGACACAGTTGAAATATTTGAAAGATAACTTGAAGAAATGCCTTGATAGGAGATCCAAGGCTACAAAATCAGGGGCAGCTGCATCAAAGTTGCCCACATGCAAGTATTTTGATCAGTTGAGATTTCTGCATGGCAAAGTCTGTAACAAACCTACAGAAAGCAATTTGACACCAGTGATTGATGTTGAAGATTCATCTTTAGCAGTCAATAATTCTTCTGCACTTACTAGTTTTGTAACCCAGTCAGTGCTCTGCCCCGAGACCTCAACTCCAACATCATCAAAGAGTATTCCAGCCTCTGCTCCAGGAAAAAGTAAAGCAGAGACTGAAATTATTGCAAATACACCTGCAAAGCGAAGTAAGTCAAGAGCAGAAATGGCATTTGCAGTAGATACAATGTTGGTGAAGACATTGAAGGATATGCAAGAACCCACTGTTACTGATCAAGATGAAGATTTATTATTTTGCAAAAGCCTTGTACCAATACTTAAAAAGATGCCTGCAAGACAAAATAGGCTTGCCAAAATAAAAATAAATCAACTTTTGTTTGATATAGAGTTTAATGATGAACTGTGACTAATTTCATCAAAATAGAGTGACTTTCTCTAAAAACAATAGACACTCAAAATTTTAAAGTTAAAGTTGTACAGTATGATTCATTTACTGAGAGTTTCTTTTATAAGATGTGAATTAAACAGTATTTTAATTGTCAAGTGAATGTAAGGTTCGCGTAACCATTTCCATTTGCCAGCTGACAGCACCCTGTTGTGAATTGAAATATTCCTTGAAGTCATCACGAGTACTTTTGGCTGATTTAGAATAGTTGTTTGAACCAATTTGCGGAATAGGGACCATTCCTTCAATGTTTCCTTCCCTTCTCCATTCCCCAGTTTGCTGACCAGCTGCTGATTCATGATCTGTGTAGCTAAGTGGGCAGTAACTGTGGGTATCCTCTGGAGATCTTGTTGCCATTAAAAAGTTGTGCAAAACAACAACTGCTTTGGTAATATTTATCACCTTCTCCACGTTTGCAATGATTGGTTTTCGAAACACTCGGAAACGTGATGTTGCAACCCCAAAACAATTCTCAATAATTCGCCGTGCCCTTGATAGTCTATAATTGAACACCCTTTCTGCAAGGGTTAAGTTCTGTCCTGGGTAAGGTTTCATCATGAAAGTCTTGAGTCCAAAAGCATCGTCCGCGACAAATACATAAGGGTAGGTTTTTGTTTTGTCAGGTTGGAATAGCTTTTCAGACCCAGGGAGATTCAATAGATTATTATCTATGGCATGGCCAAGATAGCTATTAGCGTACACACTACCGTCACTCTGTCTACCTGCATCACCAATGTCCACGAGAGTAAATTCGTAGTCTGCATTACAGACTGCTAAAAGCACAATACTATGTGTCTTCTTATAATTAAAATAATCAGATCCAGAACGAGCAGGTGCCTGCATTACTACGTGTTTCCCATCGATGGCACCAAGTGCATGTGGAAAGTTCCATTTACTCTCAAATTCTCTAGCAATTTTCTTCCATTGTTCTTTAGTTTTTGGTGCACTTAAGTAGCCGTTTTCGATCAAAACATGCCAAAGAACTTGACACGTTTCACCAATAATCCTTCCTACGGTCGAAGGGCTTATGCGATAACTAGCTGCTATACTGGTTTGTTCATCTCCGTACTAGGTACCTCAAAGTAACTGCTAATCTTTCACTGGGTGAAATGGGCTCACGCATTTTTTGTTGCTTTTTTTCTGTATGTAAGGAGAAACCCAAGAAAGAAGTTTTTCAAAAGTTTCTGGTACCATTCTGAAACAACGAAAAAAAGTACTCGTGTCAAAAAGGACCATTTCTTTGATTAACAGGTGGAATTCTCCTTTTAAAATGCGTTCTTGATAAATCTTCCGCATCCAAAACCGCTTCTTGTATTTTCATTTTGTCTTTCTAGTCGCCTACGAAGCACAACTAAAATTATTAATCTTTGCAGTTGTTTTTGTTTTACACTCGACATGTTGAATTTGAGATTTGATTTTCGCGCGTTTTATTAATTTTCCAACTTTTTCGCTCGCAGCGGATACTTGTGGAAATTGAAAAGCCTTTCCTCTCGAAACTTTTCGAGCGTAATTTTCCGCTCCGCGCGGAAAATTCCGCCTAGTGGAAAACAGCCTTAACGCCGACCGCGACACACTGGGGTGACATTAATTAATATTACCTATTTATATTACATAATTTATTTACATTTTATTATACAAACCACGACGAACGCATGCACACGCGCGGGGCAGGAATTAGGCAAGACAAGACAGGGTAGAATTGTGTCATCGAAATCTGATCATTTGAATCCGATACCCATTATCTGGCGGGAAACGTTATTCCAGAAGAAGAACTTTGACACTTTGTGTATTACGAATTTCACCACTTTTCCATGATATTGTGGCTATCGGTAAGTATATAGAAGATTTGTCCATTTTCTAGAAATATATAAGTATCTCACACAAATGCAGGTTGGCATTCTTTTATTACTCTGCTGTTTACATGTGTTTGGAAATAAAAGAAAGATTTAGTCATTTAGAGCAAGTCTATAAGTAATTAAGTTAACATGTGCATTTAGCTGTTGGTCGCACTTGATATAATCATAAACATGTTTAAGATCCCACCCGTATTATGACTACAAGTATGCATTATACCTGTTGTTCTTGCAATCCAAGTAATCAAATATAACTTATCTGACGATCTTATTATTACTCATTGGTCGTTTCATGCAGTAAAACGAATCACATGCAAATAAAGCCGTCGCTAGACACGTAGTCCATTACATGTTTATATATATTCGCCTTGCCCTTGAACGTTTTTTGAAAGCGATTGTTTTGTATAAACATGTATAATGTGAATATGCCCGCTTTAATTAGGCGTCTATATTTAGCGACTGTCGAGCAATATCTGTAAGATTATAATATAATGAGATTAATTTCCTGTCCCAAACGCATTGAATCGTTTGTAAACCCATTGAACCGTTAGTAAAGTCATTTCATGCATAATCTCTGTTAATAACAACATATAAATCAATCTGCTGGGTAGTTTACATGCATAAAGGCATAAATCTAGTCATGCACTAGCGTAGCCAGCCTGCCGATTTGTCCCGCTATGCTAATATTTTGGTGTTCATTAACTTTGAAAACGATAAATTTCTAAAGAAATGAATTATTATAATAACTCGAAATTTACATAGCAGGACAATAAACAGGGTTGGCAAATCGTCTTTTATTATTTCTTCTTTTATTTTAGAAGATTTTGTTTTTGCCTTTGATTTTCTTTTATTATTTTTGATATTTACATTATTACTTTGAAAATCAAGAAGTTAAAAACAAATATTAATATTTTAAAAATGATAAAATAAAGTGATAACATAATTATACCATCACAGTCATCAAGGCCAGTCGGCTCAAGATTCAAGAGAAGGATTGATAAATGATTACATAAAAGCATAAAAGTGCTAAAACTGATCAATGTTATTTTAAATATATGACATCACAATGATCACATTGTATTTGCCATTTCGAATTTTTGACTTTTGAAACAATCTAAAAATCTTCTTTTATTAGTAAAATCTTCTTTTATTAGCAAAAATCTTCTTTTATTAGCAAAAATCTTCTTTTATTGGCGAAAATCTTCTTTTATTTGCAAAATCTTCCTTTATTAGCAAAAATCTTCTTTTATTAGCAAAATCTTCCTTTATTAGCAAAAATCTTCTTTTATTAGCAAAAATCTTCTTTTATTAGCAAAAATCTTCTTTTATTGGCGAAAATCTTCTTTTATTTGCAAAATCTTCCTTTATTAGCAAAAATCTTCTTTTATTAGCAAAATCTTCCTTTATTAGCAAAAATCTTCTTTTATTAGCAAAAGTCTTCTTTTCTTAGCAAAAATCTTTTACTAGCAAAAATCTTCTTTTATTAGCAAAAATCTTTTTTATTAGCAAAAATCTTCTTTTATTAGCAAAAATCTTCTTTTATTAATAAAAGAAAAAAGTTTTTTTTCTAGAAAAATCTTTTATATTCAACCTTGGCGCAATATCGTCAGGCTGGCTAGGCCACTTGGTCATGTAAGAGGCTGAACTAATTGGTATAATAATGTAGTCAGTAAGTCTAGTAAATAAGGCCCTGTTACACAGTGCAATTTTTCTGGCGACTTGCAATGCAATTCTACTTTTGAGAGATATAAATTTGGCAACTACGAAACTTTTACGTTTATTACACTCAATGTACGTTTCTTGCACTTACATTTTGAAGCCTCTTCACTAATTTACATATCTTAAAGTAGAATAGCATTGCAAGTTGCAAGAAAATTGCAGCGTGTAACATGGCCTTACCTTTAGATGTACGGCGTTTTTTAAAACCCCCCAACACGAGAGCTATTAGCCGAAGAAAAGACCCCGCGGGACTATTATCTGACTTATCAAGAAGTTTCTCTCGTGTGTGGATAGTTTTTATGAGGAATTCACTCGAAAGGCAAGTTTCTCTCGTGTGCGGATGAGTTTCGGGCTGAACTATAAACTGCCTAGCGAGGTCGTTAGCTCAGGTGATAGCTCTCGTGTCTGGCGGGCTTAATTGACGTCCAGTGGCCACTTTTTTGAACTGGCGAAGTAGGCCCACAGTGGGGAGGGGGGGCATTTCGAGTTCCGAGTTCCGACCAATATGTTTTAGGGAAACGCGTAGTAACTGGCATTACCGCAACAAACATTGCGCGACTTTTTGAACAAAGACCCAAAATAATATTATTCAGAACGTTTCACCCGTGAAATTTTATTGAAATGAACCCTCGGCTCGAATGACGTGCGAAGTATTCAAAACAATTTTTTCGATTGCATGTGAATTGTGAAGTGTGTATTTCCGCTAAGCAGTTCGAAAAATTGCATGTGTCGAATTTTCAAGTGTTTACTTCAACGAATGAAACACTTATTTGGTTATTCAGGTGAAAATTATTAGAATACTTGAGAGATAATGGTATAACGCTGTTGTATTGTGGTTGAATTGCGCATTCACACGCATTAATAATACAGATGTAAACACAGTGGTGGATTAAGAAGATTTTGTCATTCCTGGTTTAAATTGGTCTAGGTGATTAAGATTGGATTACGGTTTAAGATTGGATACAAGATTTATGACTCATAAGGGTTAATCCTAATCCTAAATTTAACCCTAATCCTGAACTTAATCTAAAGACATGCATCCTCGTACCCAGGTTTTTTGCGTACTGCGTGTGCCACGCAGTCCGAAGCTGTCTGATTATCAGACAGGAAAAACCTCGGAACGAGGATGCATGTTCAGTAAATTCTGAATACATGAATTTAATTCTTGACCGTTCTGAATCGCCACTCCAGTATTCTGTCTTAATTCTTATTGATTGTTCTTATTCATCCATAATGTAATGCTATAAGAATTTGACCAATCAGACTCTGATCAGACAGGCCCCGTACGGAATACAAATACAAAAATAATAGAAAAAGATAGTGAATTTCATCAGTCACATTTTCCACATCCTAAAACACTTAGCGACCAAACTTTACCTGTCTAAAATTGATCTCTGTCGTGTTTTGGGTGCGATCTATTGTCCTTTCACTTGGTTCCATAATTATTAAGTTGGCAACTCTTAATGCATTCAATCAGGATAGAAACGTACGATTATTTTAGGACCAAACATGCAGGAAACGTTGCAACAGCTCAGCTTTAGCCCTGTACCAGAAATCCCCCCTTGCAGAACGAATAGATAAATATATGCACTCCTCCTCGAAGATTATCGCCCTGGTTATACTGTACGCTTTCTACAAGATTTTTTAACTAAGTTCTGCCGTTTTACTAGTTATGCATTTAAATTTTTTTGCTTATTTGCATCTTTAATACTCGCTGACTGTTCCATAGATCATAGCTTTGTTGGCGTGTTTTTTATGTGTACAACACAATATTTACAATAAAATAAACATCAAAATGATGAATTTCTAACTCACTACAGTCCACAAGCTTGGGGTAAATTGCACGATTTCCATCAAGTGATAATTTCAATATCTCTTTCAAAGTTTTCATTACCTAACAAGCAATGGCTAACTATACAAGAACATCATCCCAGGAAACGTCAACCAGGTGAGCCATATTTAATTTATACACCGCTAAAATCTCTGAACCTGGCGTTTACCAGAATTGTTACCAACAGTTTTTGTACC